GTCTCAGATTATTGATGCAGGTTCTTCCAGTCGAGATCCTGCTTGGGGCATCCTCTTAGGCACCCTGCTTGCCTTCAGCGACTGACCATCTAGTTGCACCAGACAAACAACCAGAACCCTTTGTATAACCAAATAAAGTCACAGAGTTACCTTTCTGCTTTGTCCTGTGGTCCATGAGAGTGTGGAGGCATGGAAGATGTGAGGAGGGCCAAACATATCCAGGGAGGTGGGGTGGCCCAGGGGAAGAGGATCCTGGCAAAGTGACAGTGTCATGCCAAGCAACCAGGAGGAACTCAAATATTCCTTTATCTACCCCCCTTCCTGTAGGGGTCTGAGCTCTAGCCTGAGTTCGGCCACTGACTTATGAGATCCTGGCCAAATCTCTCCTTTTTTCTGAGCCTCAGTTTCCTCCTTTGTAAAATGAAGGGCCTTACAAGTTGGAGCTGAGTCTCATCAGGCCAATTTTTCATTATGATCACTTATTGAGTGTCTATGTATGTGTCAGATACTCTGCTAGTATCTGTGCTAGTGTTTTACGTATAGGAGTTCATTTAATCTTCACAAGACCTCAGTGAGATAGCTTTTATCCCTATTTTTCAAAGAAGAAATTGGCTCTAGGATGTTAAATTACCTGTCCAGAGTAGCACTTTCCTTGCCCCCCCACCCCCCCGCAGATCTCTGTCCCTGATGAGGGAATTTCATTGAGAGATTTGGATACCTGAGCTGCTTTCTTCTGCCCAACAGTTGTTTCTTTGTGTAAGTTGGCAAATGAGGAGCAGAGAGGAAAGAGTAGGGCTGGGGATAGCTGGTTTTTATCCAGAGTTTAGGTTCTGGGCTCTTAGGGGAGGAGGGCAGTGTGATTCCTCTCTTTGGCCATAAGGGGGCAGGGGGAGAGCAGATAACCCACCCTGCAACTTCACTCATACCTCAAGTTGGGGTGGGGGGTGGGGGGGAAGTAAGAGAAAGAGAGAGAGGGAGAGAGAGACAGAGAGAGAGACAGAGACTGTAGAGGTGGGGAATAGGGAAGGGAAAGTCCCTGTGTCAGGCCATTTATGTGTATGATTTCTTTTTCTTTTTTTGTCTTTTTTCGTGTCCAACAACGGATCGCAACCCTCAGTGTCATGCCTGTACTGGACCGGGACCGGCAACGGGATCGCAACCCTCGGTGTCGCGTCCGCACCTCGCTCAGCCAGTGAGCGGGAACCGGTCTGTATGTGGGATCTGAACCCTCGGCGGGAGCGCCACCGCGCTCCCAAGCGGCGCACTGTAGCAGTGCGCCACCAGGCCGGCCCTATGTGTATGATTTCAATTTAATTCATTCTACTATTTCATGAGGTTTAGAGGCAGGGACTTAGGGTACCTTTATTTTGGGTTAAGTATTTTCTGTGCATTACCTCATTTATCCTTACTACAACCTTATTAAATAAATATTGTCATTTCTGTTTTTCCATTTTATGGGTGAGGAGATAAGATTAACTATCTGGGGTCACAGAGTCCACCTTGGTTAATAGCTTGCGCAAGTGGGATCTGAAGCACAGGTGCCTGCAATTGACCTCAGAAGTGGGGCTGACATGAAGGCCTAGATTACCGTGGACTTTGATTACATCCATTATCAATCCAGGATTTGGACAGGGTGGTTGGGAAGTTGAAGGAGGTTATGGTAAGTGGAATAGGGTTGATTGGAGACCAGAGAGCCTGTGGTAAGAGGCTGTTATGTCACAAGAGAGATTTTTGTGGATGAGTTTTATGGTCCATCCTTTCCTAACTTCTGATCAGTTGGGCTAGCAGGTTGTTTTAGAGGGCCGAGCCAAGCTGTGGGAGGGCCAAGGTATACTTCCACAGATTCTGTTAACCCCACTAGCAAATGTAGTGAGGACATCAACAACCTTCAAAGGGAATTGGCAAGTCAAAGGGAGGAGTGGTGTCCCAGGTGCCCCAAATGGATGGCCCTATTCCTAATGTCAGGATGGGACATATTTACTACATGCTAAAGATGATATGTAACAAAAATATTGGATATTGAGTGCACTTATAATGAATGCCATGGATGTATCACCCAGCTCAAGTAATAGGACATCAGGAGTAACTTGCATCTTACCTGTGTGTTTCTTCCCATCCCATCTCTTTGCCTCCTGTCATGCAGTAACCACCACTTCACATTTTATTTAGTTCTGCTTGACTTAGATTTATATATATTTTGATCATATGTGCATTATATATTTAAACAACAAATATTGTTTAGATTTGCTTGCTTTTGAGCTCTGTAAAAATGGTATCATATATGTCATTTTCTGGAACTTGCTTCTTAAAACTCATTGTCATGTGCTATGGATTGAATCATGTCCCCTCAACACTTAATGTATTGGAAACTTAATCCCCACCATGACAATGTTAAGAGGGTGGGAAATCCTATTATGGTAATTGAAAGGTGGGGTCTTAAAGTGGTGATTAGATTGTGAGTACCATGTCCTTACTGATGGATTAACACATTGCTGGTTTAATCATGGGCATGGTTCTGATGGCTTTAAAAGGAGAGTATGTGAGAAGCTCTCTCTCTCTTTGCTTCTGCCATTTTGCCATGTGATACCCTGTGTTGCTGGAGCCACCACCAAGAAGGCCCTCACCAGATGTTCCCTGGTCTTTGGACTTCGCAGACTCTGTAACTGTAAGCAATAAATATTGGCTCTTTACAAATTACCTAGTTATTTCTCTTATAACCAACATAAGCAGACTAATATATCACGTTTATAATATTCATCCATGTCCTAGTGTGTGGCTTGCTACTATGAATGTTCGTGTACATGTCCCCTTTTACATGTCTTGTATGAATGTATAAGTTTCTCCTGGGTATAAATGCAGGAGTGAAATTGCTGAGCTGTAGGGTTTGTTCAGCTTTGGGAGACAATGCCAAATTGCTCTCCAAAGGTTGTACAGTTACACATTACTGGTGAGAAAGTAAAGAATTCTTGTTGATCCACATGCCCTACAGCTTTTCAGGCTTTAAAATTATTGCCAGTCTGCTGGGTACAAAATGGTATCTCATTATGGTATGAATTTCTGTATCCCTAGTTATTTAAGTAGGTTGAGCTTCTTTTCATGTGTGTATTGACTATGCTTCTTTTGTGAAATGACCATTTTAGGAGGTCTATTTTTCTATAGGGTTGTTTTTCTTTTTCTTATTGATATGTAGGAGTTTCTTTTATATTCTTATATATGGAAAGATTTGTATGATATTTCAATTCTATTTTTCCATGAACTTTTTGAAGTACTCTTGTATATTAAGCCTTTGCCAGTTAGATTATTTGTCATCATTTCTTTTTTTTTTTTTCCCCTTTTTGTCTTTTTTTTGTGTGACTGGCAACGGATGGCAACCCTCAGTGTCGCGCCCGTACCGGACCGGGACCAGCAACGGGATCGTCCCCTTTTTGTCTTTTTTTTGTGTGGCTGGCAACGGATCGCAACCCTCAGTGTCGCGCCCGTACCGGACCGGGACCAGCAACGGGATCGCAACCCTCGGTGTTGTGCCCGCACCTCGCTCAGCCAGTGAGCGGCCGGTCTGTATGTGGGATCTGAACCCTCGGCGGGAGCACCGCTGTAGCAGTGCGCCACCGGGCCGGCCCTATTTGTCATCATTTCTTATGGCATCTTTTGAAGTACAGAATTTTAATGTTGAATTTACCAATCTTTCTGTTTTATGCTTGATTCTTCTTGTGCCTTGTTTAAAAGATCCTTCCCTACCTCAAAATCCAGGATATGTTCTTTTATTTACTCCAAAAAAGTTATGTTTGGCTTTTGCATTTGTTTGTTATCTATTTATAATTTTTTTTTTTTTTTAAAGATGACCGGTAAGGGGATCTTAACCCTTGACTTGGTGTTGTCAGCACCACGCTCAGCCAGCGAGCCAACCGGCCATCCCTATATGG